TCCCTGTAGCCTGGGTGGCCCCCCCATATCATCGTCGCCATCTTTCCGAGCGGAGCGGTTTGCAGCCAGCTGCTGATACGCACAAATATCGCGAGATTCATGTGTCGTGCCGGGATTTTTTATTTTTATTTTTTTTAACGTGTATATAATCCCTGAGCTTATAAAATATCAAGATTTCCCACTTTCAGGACTTCTTACTTCAGAGTGGGCGCCAATAATATGAAAATTTGGGGGGGTAAACTTCATGATAGATTTAGGCGATAGATTTAGTGGAGTCGTTTTTTTATGAAGTTCCAGTCTGAAAGTCACTGTTAAGCATAAATTAGCAGAATGCTAGAAAATTAAATTAAAAATGGATGTCTAGAAGACAGTGTAAATAATAATTTTAAGCGCTTAGTTCTATCATGAGCGCCCTCTGCCGCTCTCCAATGTGAATTGCAGCCAATTTCTACATAACGGGAGTTAAAGAAAGTGGAGTCACTCTCGATAGATTGGCTCCGATTTTACATACATCTTCAGCAGAGGTGCTTTTTACTTCTTTATTTAAAGAATTTACACCTGGGTCATTTCTTATTAAGTCATTGGGAAGAGACAGCGAAGTAGTAGCACACCAAGAAGAGCACATCTACTGATCGTGAAGATTTTGAAACTTAAATTTTAAAGCCTTAACACACATCTGCGAGTACTGAGAAAATTGTGTCCTGCAGGTTTTAGATGTGTCAGTGATTCAACACAGCTGATTCAGATGGCTACATCACCCTACTCACCATATCTTGAAGTACTCCAGAGGGCTGGTAATGAACTAATCATTTGATTCTGGTATGTTGACCCTGGATGATATCTAAAACTGCAGAACACCGGACCTTGAGGCCTGGAGTTCCCCACCCCTGCTTTACAGGTTATCCAAAGTGGACTTTCTGAAGTTTCCTCCAGTGAATCATCAGTGTTTTTTTTTTCTTTTTAAAATCCCTCTACATCACAGACATTACATTGGTGCAAATTTTGCTATTAAAATCCCTCAAAAATTCAATGAATGAAGACACAGGACACAGGAAATACTTTTTTTTACTAAAAGAATAAATTTTATTTCAGCACTGTAAGTCATTTCCCAACCAGTACAAACATGACTGCCATCTTTGTCTCTTTCTGAACCATTCCTCCCCTGCCTCTGTGAGATCAGACCACCAACAGCCAGACAAATTAAAAACAAAAGAACAAAAAAAACTTTCTCTCACCTTTCCACAAACCGTCTGGTGCTTCCATAATGCTAACAATGATGACAAATTATACCAACCATAATTATAACAGCAATAATGATGATGATAATATTTCTATAACAATAATATTATGGATAAATTTTAACCCTTTTTTCGCTGCACAGGTAGTTTTTGGGTGGTTCTGGGTACTGATGCGTTGACCGATGTGATGTGAAACGGCCCCCAACTTGACGGGGACTTGGCCACGAAGGGAGGGAGGTGGAAGGGGGGGGACAGGTTATTCTGAACCTTCTGGGGGGCTGTTGAGGGGGGGAGAGTGGCAGTGTAGAGAGAGACAGAAATTAGGGACCCTTATTCAAACCGGACAAGAATGCTGTGAGATTTCCTGGACAGATACAACCCAACCGATGACTCCTTTCTGTATGACAGAAGATAATACTGTTTCATTTCTACAATAATACACGCACACACTCCTGTTCTGGGGCTTTTGCTTCTCTTCAGAGGATGCTCCCGTTTTCGTGGGCAGAGAGGTGGGGGTTACTTTTAACCAGCTTTATGACACAAATACTATCATTTCAGTCAGAGAGCAAGAATTTTCCTCACAGCGCTTCAGCTGAGACGGTTTAAACCTCCTGATTTAAATCAGAAACTGGACATAAAATTTTATGATGATCAAAGCGAGATGTAAGCCATGGATTGGAATTTGTTAACTAGGACTGCAGCTAAGGCTTGCTTTATTGATTCCTTCAAAGTAAAACCGCTTTTAGCAGAGAAAATGTCTTAAAATTGCTTCTTTTTATTTGAACAAAAGCCTCTAAACCAATAAATGCCCTAACTAAGATGGAAAATAATTTTTATTCACTATAAAAACAGGATGTTGACTATGGACTGGGATTAACTAACAAAGTCTGCAACTTGCAATGATTTTCACTACTGATGTCAAAAGTAACAGACAGCATCTTAAAATCTCTTATTTTTGTCAGACCAACTGTCTAAAATTTATATATTTAGCCTAAATCATATCCGATCATGAAGTCAATGATGCAGCTAACAATTCCTTTAAATACGACTTAATGATTGCACTAAAATGTGCCAGGAAGTAGCTGTATTTTCTGCAGCTCGATGAGACTAACGTCAATTAGCTTGTTATGGTTTAAACGTACAAATGTCAGAATAAAACACTAATTTCCACCAAGAGATCGGCCCTACAACTACCAAATATGCATTCTGATTTTTAGTAAGTGACAGAAAATTGCTCATCTTGCAGCAGCAAAACGGCATAATTAAAATCGCAAGTTCAAGTCCACAAAACTATGAGATTCTATCAAATTATTTTGTATGAGAAGCCCGAAAGCTCTGAAAGCATATCCTCATGGCTAAAATGTTTATTTCCTTGATGTGAATAAACCTCCTGGATGGTCGATCAATCTCAGATTCGCACTGTGAGGAAAACTGTCTCTCTTTCCTCCGCCTCAGTGCCCACGTACAGCATGAAAAGACCCGCTCAGCTCAAGTCCTGGGAGCTAAAAGACAATGTTTTGAAGAAGAAGAAGAAAAAAAAAAAAAGCAATAGAGGGTACCAAGAAGCTCGGCGTGACAGAGAACATATTTGTCAGGTGTCGTTCCTTCTTCCCGTGTGTGGTTACTTGTAATAATTTGATGTGATAGGAGCAAGTGGAGCAGTTCACACCGCCTAAAACTTCACCATGAGGAGCGAGCGGGAGATTCTGATGAGACGCTCACTCGCCGCCCGGTCCGTCTGCATCTCCACGAAAACCACAGTATGAAAAACAACAAAAATAAAAATGAAACACCACACCGTTACCTCACAGATCTGTCGGATAAATCACACGTGCTGTAATGTCATTATACATATAATCATCAGAAACTTATTACTCAGGGTGGAGGGGCGGGGAGCTGTCAATGTTGGGCAGGGGGAGGGGCTATAGAGGAGCTTGTTTTTGGGGGGGCGGTGGGATAGACGGTGATACTAGGTGTACTTTGGTTCTCAGGTGTTCACAAGAGATATTTCGCTGCTTTGTGCAAGGGCGCAGAGTTGAGCTTTGATTAACGACGAAGAGCGAAAACTCGTTATCGGGGATAATATGAGAATCGAACATAGTGCAGACGACGATTTTCAATCCGAAAAAACGGGCAATATTTACTTACGTACAATAATAAAACGGTGAAGTGGTCTACAGATGCCATATAAAATACAGGTAAGGAAAATGGCGATCGTTACAGTTCAAATCTCTAGGTTGGCTAAGCGTATTTCAGTACTAACTGAAGCGATGGTAGAAGGATTAGATTAGAAGATGTAATAACATTAAAAATAGTAAGAAAAAACACATTTTGCACAATTGAATAAAACAGTTTTGATTTTTTTTTTCAGATTTTTTTTAAATCCACTCTGGCTAGATACATACAGAAACTGATTATCAACGTTAATATAACCTTTACTGTTAGTTGGGTTGATTAAGGGGGCGGGGCAGCCCGAAGAGAAAAAGAGAAAAAATAAAAACGGCCAATAGAAACGGTCCTAAAGGGGCTAACGGAGCGGCAGAGAAGGAGGTGAAAGGAAACTGAGATACAGTGGGAGGAGGACAGGGGTGGGATTAACCTGTGTGGAGGATATCTGTGTGCGTGTCTGCAGTGGGCTTGATTTATGTGTGTATGTGTCTGTGTGTGTTTTCGTGGATGTAAGTACTCTACAAGGAGGCCGAGGAAAAATTTGAGGGTGGGAGAAAAGAATAAATGGATGAACAGCGAGAAGAAGTGTCATAGCAGGGGCGGGTTAGAGGATAACAAGCATAAAAATCACTGATCAAATACCTATCAAACTAAAACAGACGAGGACAAAAGAGGGACACTACATCATGTGTTGTGTTGACTTTTTTTTTCTTTTTTTTTCCAAACTACCTACTGTGTAACTCAGGATTTAACATCTATATATCCGTGTGTTTATTATGTGCGTGTATTCTAAAAATGTGTCAGTGTGCGCGCGTTTCTCCGATCTGTGTCCATGCAGCAAAAACTTGAACGTGAATGTGGGATTTATTTATTTTTTCTTCCTCCTCGCGGTCAGTAGAAAGTGTTACCAAAAAAGATCTCCGATGAACTGACGACCACTCCACTGGGAACTGAAACTGCACGAAAAGAAATCACTTCAGCACGAAAGCAGAGAGAATGCCGCTGGTAACAAATCAACTGATTCCTCTGTGTGTGTGTTTATGTATTGTGAACGTGTGTGTGTGTGTGTGTGTAACTGTTATCTGGCGAGCGAATCGAGAGAGGGCATCAAATACCAGGTCACACTCTGGATCGCCGCAGAAAAGCCATCTGCTAACAATGTACTGCTGCAATACACGTATTTGTAGTAATGTCAAAAGTTGAAAGCAGTTAAGTATATGACTCCTAGTAATTCTAGACTTAGTATTTCGGCCAGTGGAGCTATATTCTCTAGCCTAGTCTTGGTGTCTGTTTTACAGTCCTGTGTTAAGCCCCGACACTGTTTACCTACTCTCAACCTAAGAGCACCTAAAGTGCTCGTAGATCCCTACCCATTAACGGCTAACTAGTCCGAACCTTTTTTTGATTTCATTTGGTGTTGGTGTAAGAGGCGGCGGCGTGGCCTCGGCGGGCCTACGCTCACGGCTGGGTCGACTGTCAGCGTGTCACTGTAAATGGCTGAGTTCATAACAGAGGGGATGTCTGACGCGACTACATTAACACTTACTTATATATATTTATATATATAGTCAGGGTCTTCTGTTTCCTTCAAAAAACAAAAAAGAAACGAGAAAAAAAAAGAAAGAAAAAAAAAAAAGCATTTCATAGGAGCTTTTTTCTTCCGTGTTAAATTTTGTGGCACACGATGAAGCGCAAGTCATCAATGTAGTAAGAAAATAAGGTGCTTCTTTGCTGACTTGCCCTTTTTTCCATGTGACGAGTTTATTTCAGCCTCTCTACGTACGTTTTAGAGAGATTACAACGACCGTGGCCAGCATCTCTCAGGCAGTATCTGTCGCTCTACTGCTTTGACGTTTGCAGTTGTGCTACAGCTAATCGTTAAGAAGGTACATGCTTGTATTTCCTTTGTCAGATGAGACGTTACTGTGTGTGTGTGGAGGTGGGGGACACATTTCATTCTCTACAAACATAAATGCTCTAATAAAACATTTCCTAGAAGTCTCAGATTGTGAGCGGCACGCTCGGGGGTCCGCCACGAGGCCTCCCTCTCCCCTGTCAAGTGACGATGCGGTCCAGCCCGTGAAGGCTCGCGCCACGCTCGGCTGAGGCGCTTCAGGGGCAGGGAAGTGCTTCCTGCTGGTCTAAAGTGACACACCGGAGCTTCGCCGAGCAGCGGCTCTCAGTGTCGGGCATTCGTAATGACAACAGCTGCTCAATCTTTTGAGGCTTTGCTGCCACGCCCCTTTTATATCACATGTGTCTTATGAAAATACACTTTGGAAATAGTTTTTAAGAAATCTGAAATGATTCCCAGGATCTCCTCGACGTGGACGATCAAGACTCCTTTTAGCTTCATAGCAAAGTGAATGTATGAGGGCAGTCTGAGGGGAACTCTGCCTGGCAGCAGTCGCCCAAAAACCTCACCGCTCATTTCCATCTTTTACTGGACAGTTTCCATTCCTACGTTTTTGGCCTTTAACTGAAGAAGGTGCCTCAGAGAGGTTGTCATTTCTATATCAACTGTTAGAGGACTGTCCAGTGTGGTTTAACATTTTTTAAAACAAAGTGCTTCTTTGTCTGAAACCACTCTGTTCACATTCTGACGTCTCTCAAATAGATCTCTACCTTTAAATGTAGATCTATGTGTCATAATGATTTACTCGGGCGCGGGGAACGCCCCTCACCGACTGTCAATTCAACTGTCTAGGGGCTTGTTTAAATCCATTATATTTAAATAGAACATTAAGTGCTTCTGCTGGGGTAGTACAATCAAAGCTTTGGGAGGAGGGGGGTGGGGTGAGGGGTGGGACAATAACATAATAATGCAATTTTTTTTTTCTTTTTTTGGAGGGTCGGGGGGAAATCTTGCATACTGTAGGGCTTAAGGTGCATAAATTCATGGGATCTCTTAGCACAGCTAAGTACTAGGCTATGCTACACTGGGCAAAGTAAGATATCACACTAATGCCGTGGTGGTGCAGAAGTGCTTCAGTGACTGATTAACCAATCAAATCAATCAATCAAAGAATAAAACGAAACAAAAAATAACGGGGTTTGATGCGAGTGCTACCGCTGCATGTTTAGCAGCGCTGCCCGCCGACCTGGTTGCAGAATGGAGTTTGGCAAGGGTCGCTGCACAGAAGAGTCAGGCTCTGAACATCTGACCTCTCGTGAGTTGGCTATGGCAACAAACCACATCAACATACAACGACTGCCTGTCACCGTTGCTGCATGCTTAACGTTTGTGTGCAGAGTCGAACAACGGGACGACTGAAAAAACTAAATAATCAAACTGTACAGACAGCCCTAATAAACGGGGGCGGGATTGATTAAAGATGTGGCGGTGATGGGGCGGGGTTATAAGCTTATTTCACTCTGAGTGCGGATAGGGGAGGATTTTTTCTTTTGACAGGTGGGGCGCTTACGGACTCATGGAAAAACGTCTCTTTAGAAACAATGTAAAACCATATGAGAAAACTTATAGGGGGGAGGGGGGAACGGCTAACTGGTTTAGCTAATCACACGTCGCAGCAGAGGAGGCGAGGACGGGCCTCCCGTCGCCTCCTGCGCCGTGTGATGATGTGCACAGCTAGCAGACAGGGCTACAAAAACAGGGAAAGGCAGTCGAACACAGATAACTCTCTTAGAGCAGCACATCCTGATAAGGATGCCATCACTCCTCCTTCTGTAGTGCTCCGTCTGACGGGCAGTCGTCAAGGCAACAGGGGGCCTCCACTTCCACCCCCTCTGATTGGTTGTCTCTGCTGGCTAAGGCACACGGGGTTGGCTGGGCCAGGGGAGTCAGCTCCAAGGGCTGGCCGATGGCGGAGGCTGCTGAGCTGCCATTCAGCTGCTGAGAGGCAACCTCTGGCGTGGAACCCACCTCCTCGGAGGGCTTTGGGGGACTGCTGGATGGGGGGGACGACGTCTGGGGAAGGAGAGACAGAAATGTTGGAGTGCAACAAAGTTGACGTCCACGCCTGATTTCAGTGTTCACCTGAGAGTACAGAGGCTTGTCTGGGTTTGTCTGCTGTCACACCTGTGTTCTGTTGGCAGTTGTCTTCTTCCCTCCCCTTAGTTTTGCTGGAGTCTCTTTACCCCTCCTGTGGTGCACAAAGAGAAAGGCTTTTTTTAAAAAGTCTCCACTGGGTTAACATTACAGTTCTTTTAGGTCGGCTCCAATGCATGAAGTGGCTAGTATAACCTTTAGGCCTTTGACTAGAGATGAACTAACTGGCTGGTGACCAGAGCAGCTGATCAGCCTCAAATATATCCAGTTCTGTAGCTTTACATTCAGTCTTTTTAGAATGATTTTACATAATGTAAACAGGAGGGAGGGAAAAATACTACACACTAGTTTAAAAGCAGGAAAACACAGGAAACGGTCAAAACACAACTCAATATTCAGGATTAAACTAAATTAGGGCTGCCACAAACGATTATTTTGATAGTCGACTAGTCACCGATTATTTTTGCGATTAGTCGACTAATCAGATCATCATCCATTGGACGTACAACGTACAGCTTATTGCACCAGCAGCATCTGCTCTTATATAACTATCATTAGCTTACAGCTTTAAGTGTTTAAGGTATGTGCTAACTAAAAATAAAGACAAGATGACAGTTTATTAAATTTTAATGACATTTGCAGATTGTTTCGGCGAGGTTTAATAAACTCCTTGCTATCTAAAATATAACAGGACACCGGAGTATATTCTCGAGCATCTCACACTTCTGATAATCAGCTGTCTGCTTGATGTTTATTCAGCTGTGTAAAAACTTTAATCTCAGCCAAACCGATTTACTCAGGAATAAATAAAATACTAAAAAAAGCCAAACAATAACATTTTTAATTTATCTAAGTGACTCATATATCATGTTTAACCTGAGTAGCGAAAGACGGCGGTGGGTTTGAAAACGATTTGCCGGCAGTCCGGTGTTCTCACGGCTCGAGCTATCGAGCTAGTGGGTAACAGACGTCTCCGAAAACGTCGGAGCGCTTTTGAAAATATGTGGTGTCCTGATAAACTGAGCAGATATTTGAGGTTTACACAGCTACATTCTCGCCTGAAAATATGCTAAACGTTTATTTTGTGACCCAGAAAGAATAATAAGAGTAATATTAAAACTAACTAGCTGCCGCCATTGTTGGAAACTGAGCTGGGCTGCGCTATGAATTCTGGGATACAGCTTCTTCTTCTTCGGGGTTTAGTGGCAGCTGGCATCCTTGTACATGCAGTGCTGCCATCTTCTGTTTCAGTCCGTTATTACACTCTTAAATCCTACTACTTATTCCTGCGTCTTTTGGGATCTTACAAAGCTTCAAACGAGGCATCGACTATTAAATTAGTCGTCGACGATTTTGATAGTCGACTAATCGTGACTAGTCGACTAATCGTGGCAGCCCTAAACTAAATGCTGTTCTACTTATCATGTAGTTGAAATAATAACCAACTCATATTGCGCATTTGGGATGGTGACTTCACGGCGGTCATCTTTTGTACAGGCTATGATCAACACAGGATTTGTTTCATTAAGTAGTGATCTCTTTTTTACAACTGTCTGTCCTTGAAGTCCGAACAGTAAGAGCTGACTTTACAAACTTGATCCAAGAAAGAGGCGATCGATGGTTTTCAGAGGCTGAAAAAGACTCGTCACTATAAGAAAGATGAACTTTGAGAAGAATTTGTTTCCCTGTCAATGTAGATTTTTACTACTTTGATATATTAATTATAAACCAGAGCTGTTAATAAACGGAAAGAAGCCCAGAGACTATGGCTCAAACGACGTCATGACTTTTTAAACTCAAGCCGCTTATTCAAACCCTGCAATGTGTTTACTTTACTTGAAAAAAATTATTAAAAAAAAAAAAAAATTATAGCAGAACTCACCCTTTCCCGGCTCCCACTGACACCACCTGCATGTTCAAGCCCCCTCTCCCACGGACTGGTTTGTTGCCAGCCCACTGACCAACCACCATGCCAGCGATCTCCAGTTTCCCTCCCTGAGGGGGGATGGACTGAATGCCTGAAAGAAAAGATTGCAAAGTCACTACACACCAACTCCCTGTGTTCCTGTTTATATTCCATATTATCTTAATAGGACATAAACTGCGTATTTATCTATATTCTACCATGTTTTGTCACCTAGTAGATAACCAAGCACACAGTTTTATACCAACAAGAAACTGTACAACATTAGTCTGGAGTCAGAAACATTTTCTTGTATCAATTAAATGTAACTGCATTACATACAAGACAACTTTCTGTTCAATCTGTAAAAAGGAAATCTATTCTGCTTCATACTGAGGTCAGTGTATATTCAACGACTACTTGAGTCGTACAAATCTCAGTTTTCAGACTGCTCCAAATGCTCAAGAAGTATTTTCCTGCTTTGTAACTCACAGAGTGGATATTTATAATATGGACATCTCAGAGCTCAAATGTTTTGTTTGCAACAAACAATCAGAAAAAAGTTGCTTAAAAGAAGTGGGAAAAGAGCTAAAACTACTTGTTTCAAACAGTGGATGAACTGTGGCATACCTGGGAAGCCTCGGGGTCTGTGCTGGGCTGGGTGGTGTGGATGATGTGGGTGATGCGGGGGCATGCCGCCCATGGGACGGGGTGGGTAGAGAGGAGGCATGGGGTAGAAAGGGGGCATCATGGCAGGGGGAAGGAAGGCAGGAGGTGGAAGAGGTGGTGGTGGAGGAGGAGGGCGAGACAGGTTAATGCCCTCGAGGATCGCCTGGCGCATCTTCTCGACCTTGGACACCAGCTCTTCCTGCAGAGAAGAAAGAATTACGGCTGTTAATACGCGACAGATACAGAGTAGATCCCACTTTCTCTTTAACTGTCACTTTTATTATCCATAAAACTGGAGTGGGCATATTGATGTATGGAAAAATAATAATAATAATAAAAAATAATAATAAAAATAAGTGTTTCTCTCTGATGGCGACTCAGTGCTGCGTTTTTCCTCCCACGCCAATAGTGTAACTCCATACATATAGATATCTATTAACTTATCTTCCTCCAATCTCTTATGTATGCACCTATGTGGGTCAGGACGTAGTTAGTTGTACTCTCACAGTTCTGGATGTAGCATGCACCACACTCATTAAACCCCCCAAATCTATCCTGCTTATTTTAACTTGTCCTGTTTCCGGGGCTGCATGTCTGCATTCTGTCTTATTGAAGTTCTATTTTTGCAAAAAGTTAAATATAAATATATTCTTGCCATACGGTAAGTCACTTTATTAAAAAGGTTTAATAACATATGAAACACAGCACAAGCCCATTTTAGCCCATGTGACACCGTCACAATGATTTCAAACACAATTTTTATTCATTTTCAATCTGCTGTCATTTCAGCTGTGAGGATGAATAAAGCTTTTTTCTGAAGCTCTTTATCACAGGTCTGTGTGCTTCCTCCTGTACTCATTTTTCATTCTGTTCTTTTAATGTCTACTTTAAAATTTGGCCATGGGATAACAGCTGGAAATTTTGTTAACACACACATTCAGAGACATGGTGACTCATTTGCACTTCTCCTGATAAAGTGAACTGAGCAGCCAGCCTCCACCATGGTCACTGATTAGGGCTTCAACCAAAAAAACAAAACAAGTCTTTAATTCCTTCAATAATTCAGTTTTGTATTTGTGTTAATTCTTATAGTACTTTCTATTTTTTTTTATTAATTTAGCTGTTTTAGCATGCTGAAACATTGCTGCCCTAGCAAGCTAGCAACAGAAATATAAAGTTAAACTGATCAGTGATATTCTATTAATGTAAATTTACAGTACCCTACAGGAACTGCGTTAATAAGGCACGTTTTGTATCACGGTTGGGTAAGCTGATACTGTGTGTTTATTTTGGGGGTTTTAAAGGCTTCGTTTGACTGGAACAGCACAGGAACACTGGAATGGACCTGAGCTCAGAGCGCTGCGGTAAGCATCAGGCCCATGGGCTGCCAGATGAGCTCCTATATGAAGTACACCAAGGCTCTTAAATAAAGCCGATATTTGCACGACCACAGTCATTAAAATGGTCTCAATTTTGACTTGTCTCAATGTCTTATTTGTTTCTATCCCAATGAAGGTCGCCAAGAAAATTTGTGGTTTATATTTTTTGAATGTTTTTTTTGGTGCTTTTAGGTCAAAGGCAGTGTAGAGCAGATGGCCTGAGGGTGGAGCTGATCGACCATCCCAGTACATGCAGCGTGCTCCAATCATTTACAATTGTTACGTTTTTGTGTTATTGTTGGGGGGGGGAGGACAATTACAATATGTAACAAATTTAAAAAATATATATTTAGAAGGCAGCTGACTTAATCTTTTTTTGACTCCTAGTTTTTCTTGTCCAACATCCCATTTTATTCACCTCTGCGCACTCCCATCTTCTATAGTTATTGGTTTGTGCCGTGTGTTTATTTCAAACAGCTGTTAGCTTGTGTTTTTATAAGCTGTATTGGTGTGTCCAACTTAAATGGGCAGAGTAACCGTAAATCATTTTGAATCAATATTACACTTCAAGTCTTAAAACAAAAGAAGATATGAACTTCCCCATCCTGCTCTTTAAAATAACCTTTACAAATTTCTTAAATTGTGGGGGAAGGTGGAAAAAGTCCATTTTAAAAGCCATTTACACACAGAGCTGTATGATGACTGGACTATAATTCACCCTCCAACAGGGATTTTGGGACATGAAAGACAAACGATGGTCACACTCAGCGCTGCGATGCTCTGCTTCGTACCTGCCCCTCACACATGTCCAGCAGGGCGGCTCGGTCGCGGGCGGCTCGGGCCAGTTTGCTCTGGAACAGTTTGCCGTCGAAGAAGCCCCAGGGGCAGCAGTGTTCCCACGGCAACGGCTGACCGCAGACATCATTGATAAACAGCGCCGTATCGACGCCGGCCATAAAGAGAGCAGCCAGCTGCACGCCGCGAGCATCCACCTTCTCCACCTGACAGCCAACACACAAATGAAAAATGACAGCATTTAAGAGGTGGGAACAGAAATGAGGCGCTGAAGAGCTGCGAGGTCTCTGCGACACGCACGGAGGAGACTCTTCTCAGAGACTTTAGCTTATCGGGGATTTTACTGACTCTACGGAGTTTCATAAAGGCGCCTACACACTGCGCTCTCTGGAGGTTCACTGCCACCCACATCACAGCTGATGCATGTATGATGATAATCAATACCTACTCAGGGCCAAGAAGCACATCGCCACTATTCATTTTCACGCTACTTCCTCCTTGGCTCGGTCGATGATACATCATTCAAACAAAGCTTCTGTTAAAACTGAACTAAATTTTCCTTCCACAGTTGAATCTTAACTTTTTTCGAGGTTTTTTTACCGCCACCTTTTCTGTTTGGGTTTATTTTGTTGTTTTCACATTTAATGGTGCATGATTGTGCATTTTGGCTTCTTGTGGATCTCCTGTTTTTTTATGACCTGCTTCACAAAGTACAGCCAGGATTTCAAAAGAAAATTTGAAAAACGTGGCAATGACTTCACTGAGAGAGTTCAGATTTTTTTTTGTAGTTTTCTGGAATTAACTTCTGGAGTTGTGACACATATCCTTAAGGAGAAACATGGAGCATGCCGACGATGCATCAACCATGACCGTGGCATGAAAACCTACGCAAAAGCAGGAGTGTTTGCAGTCAGCTGGCAGTTTGGGTACGTCGCGTCCACCTGCAATGAGCTCCTTCGCCAATAGAAGCGGAGTATAAAGTATGTGATACAACCAGTCTGTGGGATACTCTTGATTCGTTGATCCGAGCCAGCCGTGGAGAAAGGCGAAGTTATAACAAAAAGAGCGGAAGTGAAAACGAGTGTCCATTAGAGCCGCAGCCTGTTCTTTTCATGCTGTATTTTTCATTTTTGGTGGGGTTTATTTGCAGTTCTCCTATTTCTAGTGAACTCTGCCGTCACTCCCTCCCTTATTTCAGTCCACTTGTCAACCGGTAAACATTCAGCGAACGCATTCCCCATCCAATTCCAGCGACATGGAGTCGGCATCTGAGGTGTGTGAAAACCCATCTCCACTCACCATTCAAATGGAAACATATACGAAGACAATAAATTACACTTTAACATGCCATTACATTCTTCCCTTATTAACCAAACTGCCTCCGAGGGAAACGATGTTTTATTTTTCAGCACTTCAGTTTTCTCAAACAGCACCAAGACATAATTTACACCACAAAGCAAGAAAAATAAGTGCAGGAACAACACTTATTAATGATTATTCCCTGAAAGGAGGGGACTCTCACCTTCAGCTCCTGTAGCTGGTCAGGCTCATAGAGCTGGCTGGAAACAGCTTGGGCCAGGAAGGCATCGAGCTCATGTCTCTGGAGGATCCTTCCTCCAGGCCACTGCATCATATACCTGAAAGAACAATAATTAATTCAAACAGTGCCCTGGAAGTTTTCAGTTTTAATAAGCAACAACAGAAGCAGAAACTGTAGTTTTCTTTCATTCTTCAGGGAATATGACATAACAGTTCTCAGAGACACACACTTATATTTAAATCAAAAGGATGACTCGAGTGCAGATTTCGATGAAAAAAAGAACAATAAAAAAGATTAACTTCAGCATCACTCTTACACTCTTCTTACATGACTGGAGTGGAAAATCTTTAAATCAGCTTTTATTACTTATTGTATGAACGAAAATGATTTCTTGCAACACAAATTGTGACAAACAAAAGCAATTATATTTATTTTAGGGGATATCGAACAGTCGAACGCTGATGTGCTTTTTCAACATGTACGCAATGAGGAAGTGAAACTGGGAGTCTTGGGCTAACACACGCAGCATTAACCTGCATGTTTCTGAGAAACCGGAGCTCCCAGGCAAAAGCCAGAACAAGCCCAGAGACATCCTGCACCATTACATAAATCAATCCTAGGCAAGGCATACATTCAGTGCCAGTAAGCTGTTCCAGTTCATGTCTGAAATGCAAAAGTGAATTTTCATCTCGTTATTTGTTAATTTCTCAAGTGTGCCTGTTGTAAATGTTCCTTCCTGCTGTCACTTTGTCTGCATCAACAAGGCTGAAGCTTCCCTTCATGTTTCACTCGTGAAAAACAAAGCAGCAACTATTACCTCTCTGATGAATTAAAACGTAGTTACATTTAACTGTAAAGCATTTAAATACCCACACAAATCAAAAATAATCAGCACGTTGTTTAGTTTGTCTCCAGAAAAAGAAAGCAGGGCAATCTTGTGTAGGATTTATGCTGAGTTACTGGCTCCATTGTATGAACAGACATGTCATTTTCTGTCAACCTACTGATGAGCCTTTTTCACAGAAGACATCCTGACATGTCACAGTAAGAAAAGCACTGCTATAAATAATAACGCGACTGTTGAACTGCAATTAGAGTCCTGGTGTTGGGAGTGCTGGCTCACTACAGCGCTGATGGGGTTTAATGGGAGAGCAGACAAAGTTTTTGTTAATGGTATTACACGTGTCTTTCCTGCTGTAGTTAGTGGAAATGTCGGTCTTTTTAATTTGTAACTATTTGTTATAATCTACTTTAATAACAAGCAGACAGGAGGATACTTCTAAGGCTGTAATCCATGTCTCCAGCTGGTTTATCAACAAGTGAAACCAGATTCAAGCAGTGTGTATTTATTTTATTCTTGTAACGCGTGACCCTGAGCAAAGGTTGCTCTGACCTGAGTTTTTGGGCAGAATTGCTCCGTAAATACAGCCACGAATGAGGACTGAGAGGAGACAGGAGATCGGCAATAAGAGAACATGACAAGAACAAGACACGTGCTGGAGCGCCACAGTTCACGGCCTTGTTTGCAGAAGACATTCTGGCTTTAACAGGTATAATTATGACATCGAACTGAGTGACATTTATCGTTGTGAGCTTCCTGTTCCGTGGTAGCCTCTATGCTGACTCACTGTTTGACAGGAGCAGAGCCATCGTTATCATAACGGACATCACGTGTGACAAAACTACTACAAACAGTAAGGTGTCAGTTTAAACTGAGTAAATTTAGCATTTGATGAACTGGATAAACATAAATACTACAAACAAATATAAATGGCATATACCTGCTCCTGCTCAAGTCTAGGATATTACTGTTATTACTGAACAATGGCCAAAAAGAGTAAATCTTAAGGAAACCAGCAGGGGTTTTTAAGCTTCAAGAGAAGGTTTTCTTAAGACAGGGCTCTAGACTAACTTTTTGCCATGGGCGCACCGGTGAGAATGAAACAGAAAAACATGAAGGAGATTTTTCTGGCCTGGCTTTTTATAGCAGATAACCTTAAAAATATTCTGCAATATTCTGCAGTTTTGCATAATTTTAAAAAGTTTAAATTTCTTCAGTATTGAACAGCAGAAATTTGGCTTTCTTGTCCGAGGTCATTTAAGTGAAAAAAAAAAAGAAAAGAAAAAGACAGCAGCCGACAGCGCTGTAAACAACGGTAGACTGGTGGGTAATAAGCGAATGAATAATGCAGAAAACAGATTTGAGAAGGGAAACTGTTCTTGAAGTACAGAGAGAGAGAGAGAGCTAGCTGTGCATGAAGTGTGATTTTTATCGTGGTGGAAGCAAAACAGCAAAAGACAGAGGGAATTCATGACGACATTGATCAAATGTAAACACAGTCCCGCCCCTGACCATCTCCGATTGGTTTAGTCCACAATTTTATTTTTTTTAGTCGCACCACTGAAAAATTTGGTTCGCAAGAGTTAAGTCTTGCGAAATGTGTTTTATGTATCACCATTATCACTAAACAATAGTGCCTCTGGGAAAATCCAGGAGAAAAATGTAAATACTTTGAATTACCTATGACATCAGCCTAAAAAAACTGTTTCATTGTAACAAAGGCAGACGTAACATTGGATCAATTCTCAAGCAGGGAGAGGAAAAAATAAAAAATAAAGACACAAGGTCTGTTTTTCTTTTCTTTTTTTTAACTATTTGACCAGATTCCTTGACATGTTTTAAAGTAACTACCTACAGGAATTGTCAAGATGCCTGCTGAGTGCCAAAACTTGCTTCTGAAAGGGATTGGCTGTTTGGTTATACCCAATAATGCACATATTTTGCTCTGTCACCTTTATACACGGCAGTATTTGCAACAGAAAACATATTTGGATATTCCACCCTCCAAAAAACCCTATTTGCCAAATTTAGATTTGCACCCAGCAAAGCGTTTTAAAATCCCTATAACTGATGATACCTGAGCACGCAGCACATGAGCAGCAGATGCTGTGGGACCTGTGCTGGGTTGAGGAGGGCTGGGCAGTCTGAGCGTAGGCAGGCCAGGAAGGCCCTGGTTCTCCTGGAGCGGTCCTCGCTGGCACGACCTAACCAGAGCCGCCGGAGGTTGGGGCAGGTCCACTCACGGAAACACAAGGCGGGAACCAGCTCTGGCGTTAGGGCCGACTTGGCCTTACCGCTGCTCCACTCTTTGATAATCACTGGAGGAACTGCAACACAGAAACAAGTGCTGGAATAATAAGATACATACGGTGGCGTTGCTTATGATGCAGATGCTTCAGTTTTGGAGATTTCCGAAGCTGCTAAAGATGAGAGCATGTAGAGGTTTGAGCTGTTTCACACATAGAGATTCTGCCAGTGCTGTGAAATTGGAATATTTAGTGAAGAGACCTTGAGCTGTAACGACCAGCTGGGTACACAACTTCTGCCTTTGTTTGCCACACATGACAGTCGAGTTAATCTTTTGTAAAACAAAAATTCGAGGATGTCCAAGATGTCACTGCAGTCATCATTATTTAATGTTTACAAGCCTGAAGGCTCGTCTGACCTATAATGACAATAAACTACAACTTTAAGTCAGTTAATGCATCTCGAACATCTATGGCTGCCTGAGCCATACCGACTCAAATCAGGTAATGGCAGCATACGTACAAGCCTGATTGGCATACTGACCCAGGTAACAGCAATGTATGAGGAACAGGAGGTTTTAAGCCTGTATATTCCTTGACTTTAACAGTACATCTCCCTACAACACAGGTGTCGAACTCCAGGCCTCGAGGGCCGGTGTTCTGCAGGTTTTAGATGTGTCCTTGATCCAACACAGCTGATTTAAACGGCTAAATTTCCTCCTCAACATGTCTTGAAGTTCTCCAGAAGCCTGGTAATGAACAAATCATTTCATTCAGGTGTGTTGACCCACGGTGATATCTAAAACCTGCAGGACACCGGCCCTCGAGGCCTGGAGTTAGACACCCCTGCCCTACAATGTAATATTAAGTAGTTTCTCAATATGAAATCAAAACGACTTCTGGATGAAAAAGCCCAGGAGCAGATGAAAAACTGCAAATAAGCATCTAGCCAGCTTTCTGACAATTCAGCAAATATACAGCAAATATACCTTTTAGTCAAGAGAACAGAGAAAGGAGAGAAAGGGAAACAAGCACAACTATAGCTAGCAAAATTTTAGATGACAGGTGGCCTAGTAAGAGGCCAACATGAAAAATGTACCAAGTAAGAGTAAGGTTTGGGAGGCTACATGATACTGACTGAAGGTGTAATAAAAATTTAGTATCTGTAGTCTGTAAAGTCTGTAATCTGTCTCAGCTGATGCAAGCTTTAGATGAGAGGCCTATTTAAAGTGAACCAATGTGGCTTCATCACACTTTTTATTCTTGAACTCTAGTAGAGCAGCATGACTTTGTTCTAGCAGTATCCAGTTCACAGGATGCTTGAGCCTTGGTGGTTCATGGGTTCTTCCTGAGCATCCTAACCAACTTCCTCTCATCTGAGGGTGACTGTTCGAGACTTCCTCCAAACATTAGAAAAGTGGAAATACATTCAAGTAACTTCTACTTGCATAGAATTGTTTGAACTAATGATGTTGGAATCTGTAATTATTTAGAAATGGCTCCAAGAGGCCATCCCAGCTTGTATAAATCAATATGCACTTCTCCTCCTTAGACCTGCTTTTTAAAGTCATTAAAGATGCATGCCATACAATCGTTCCAGCTTTGATAAAGAACAGTTCGAAGAAATCATTAAAAGCCCCAACTATGATGACATTCATGCCATCATTCATTCATTCAACTGTAGTACACTGAGGTTAACTGGTCTCTCAAATGAAAATATTTCAAAGAAAATTGCAGTGTAAAGTGTTTATCCAATCACAATGCCTGTTATTCCATATTGCACTCAGGTATCTAAGTCCATCCCAGACCAAGACCTACCTTCCAGGGGAGCCCTCTTGCGGAGAGCGAGCCTCTCCAGGCGGCGGTGTGTTTCAGCCAGGCTGAAGAGGACGCCGTAGGCATACTGTCTGGCGGCACGGAACAGCAGCGAGGCAGGAGGCAGCTCAGAGTTACACTCATCCTCTATACACACTGGCATCTTCATCTCTCCCTGAGGGATGCAGGGGCATAAGGAATAGTTGAGGACAAAATGAATAAGAGAGCAGGATCGAGAGCTCTAAAGAGTCTCATACGCTCTCTCTTAACAAGACAATATCATTTAGACATGGACAAATGCATAGATACTGCTTTTGAATGAAAACAATAACTATTTAACAGTCTTCTGCAGAGTGGTGCCAGCCTAAGAAGGTGTTTTCAAATTTGTTTATGTTGAGTCTTTCAGTCAGCCTTGAATGTATTTCGTTAGTCCAGTTTAACCTGCAGGAGTATCTGAACACTTCCGTAATGCATTTTTCTACCGCGCAAGTTATCAAAGTCATGACTAAAGGAATCTCACTGCCAGAAATC